AGCGCGGGGGCGACCCCCCCCACCCCCCGTTGCCGGGGGGGGGGGGGAGCGCACTCCAGCACTGGCGCTGCTCACAGCTTCGCCCCACAGAAGGAACCAGTTAACTGCCACCACTCTCGAGTGCGGTTAATCTCTATAGAAACGCCGCTGGTTAGTGTCCCCGGTGGTAGCCCCCTCGCCCGCAGCGTAAATGGTCTGATCCGCCCGCGGACTAGCGCCCTCCTGTGGTGCGGCGGTTTGCCTGAAACGCGGAGCTTCTGCCCACCCCCAAGGCCCTGACTGCGAACTACCGGCCGCGTTAGGCCGCCCCCTCCCGCGCCGCGAGGCTTGCGCTTCCACCGGGCTGGGAGCTGCCGCCTGCCCTCGCCGGGGCCGCAGAGGTTGGGCCACGCCCCCCAGTCGAGACATCAGTTGTCATGCGGGCCCTTTTTTTGTTCGCCCATAATGCCGGGAGCTGCCAGTGACGGAGCGCAAAAGAGGGTTACCAGGGACGTGCTTCTACTCGCAGCAGTTAAGGAGTGAGCCTGTCAGAAGCCTGGGGCGATGACCAGCCCACAGCTGCTTCAGGCGCACAGTCCTCGCCCATCATAATTACTGTAACATCCAGCTGTTTTACAAACTGCATGGTACCTTTAAACAGTGCTTCCACCGCAACTGGCGTTACACACTTCACTTCTGTGTTCTACAGCATAAGCTTGGAGAGCACGTTGGGGGGAGAAATGGGAATTTAAACAATCCTCTGAAGCCTTTACTTGAACTGGTGGCAAGTTGCAGAGGAGTAGCTAACCTCTTCAGTTTCAGCAAAAACAATGAGATGAGAAGTCTAGCAGCACCTCAAAGGCTAAACAAGCTTATTTGTTGATACATCTGACAAAATAGGTTATAGCCCATAAAAGCTTATGGCCAAATAAGGTTAGTCTTTAAAGGTGCAAGAGGACTCCTTGTCTTTACTGAACTAGCATAAGAGATGAACTCAACTAGTCTCACAAAAGTAATCGATCCAGGAAACTACAAGCACAGGGATAAGTATAAATTGACCCTCTTTAATTCAGCACTTTTACTTAGCAAATCTGTGATCCAGCATGATTTTGGCTAGATGTTTACTTATGGGCATGGCCAAGTTTCTTAGAATCCCATACAATTTGTTTACAAGCTACCAGTCCTGGCTCTGTGTTTTAGGCTGTTATTTAGCTCTAATTCACCCCTAAATGTCTTCTAAAAGCCTAGTAAGCAATGGAAGTGTTGACAATGCAGCTAGACAGCATTAGCATCCCATAGTTTGGCAAATTCTCTGGTTTGGCACCGTCAGGTCCTGAGGTTGCCAGATTAGAGAGGTTCAACCTATATAGATTGCTGGTCAGTTTGGTTGCCCATGTCGGAATAGTAAGCATCTGCGGAGCCCTGCATGGATACAAAATTTTGTATCTGCATCTGTAGATGCTGATATCCATAGCTTTTGCAGGGCTCTAATTATCCCCACTTACTGCAAACTAGTGCAAGTCATTACTCTTGCATCCAAAACTTTAAAAAAAGTGTCACTGAATGTAGTCATTTGCAAGGAAAATTGATCTTAAGAATTAGTATAGTCCAGGAAGCATGTGCTATGTGGTATTCTTTCACTGCTTGAAGCAGTCTGAAAAATTGCTGTCAAGAGGGAAGCCTGAAGCTTCGTAGTTGTCTATCACCATTTTTAAGATTTTATGTTGACATTAAATCCAAATATAGTGCTGAATAGTGTTCTTGCAGGTCTTCATGTTCTTGGAAAGGTGTGAAGGGCTGCACTTCTTTGTGGAGGACATGCAGGGTCTAGAAGGGTGGTTGGGTGCAGAAAGGTGCACAGGGTAAGGGACTGAGGTGCAGGAGACAGTGAGGTCTGAGAGGGTTGTGATGTGGGTCAGGCTTGGGGCATTGGGGCAGAGGGAGTATGAGTGTACAAGGACTGTGGCCTGTGGGAGGAGCTCTAGGAGAGGGAAAAGGGAGTGCAGATTGCAGAGGGTTTGGGTGGTGACTTGGGGCAGGGGAACAGGGTGAAGGATCAGGGAGAGGGTATGTGTGTAGGAAAGGAGTGTGACTTGGGGGGAGATATATAGGAAGGGTACAGAAGCTGGGAGGGAGTTGTAATCTGGGGCAGGGTGCGCGTGCACACACAGTTTGGATAGTGAGCTGGGGGAAGGGAGCTGCAGTGCTAGATGCAGGATTTGGGTGGGAGGTGCCAGAGCATCTGCCACGCTGCAGAACCCCCCTTCCCCCCGGGATAGGCTCTGTGCCTGCTGCAGCCTAGACTTCTCAAAAATTCATGCTGCTCCCTCACTGAAGCTCTCAGCTCTGGTGGGGGAAGGAAGAGAGATTTGCACTGCACTGTTGCCCAGCTCCTGTTAGCTAGCTGTTTCCAGCCAACAGGAGCTGTGGATTGGGCTGGGGGCATGGAAATGACCTGCAGCCTCCCCTCCTTCCAGTGGAGTAGCCCGGCGCCTGAAACAGCAGCTGCTGAGTGCCTGAGGATCCCGTGAGGGGCAGAGGTCCAAAGTCTGAATCCAGTGGCTTGTTGGGCTAGATCCAGCCTGCGACAGGTGGCTTGCCCACCCCACGTAGGAAGACAAAGGACTATTTCCTCTTGTGAAAAAGGAGAATTATTCTACCATTCTATTTTTGTTCACAGCTCTACACTTCCCTTTTCCACATAAGGGAACAGCTATAAATGAAGGCAAAATTTGTTCTAAGTAGAACCTGGTTAATAAGCGTGCATCACTAACAAGATGTAGAGAAGAAAGCAATTCAATAGGCCACTGCACTTATAATTGCATTATTCAACAATCTTATTGAAGAAGGAAAGCACGGTTGCTGATTTAAAGTTATATATAAAAATGTAAAGTGAATGTAGAATACACTTGAAACATTTGTCCTTGTGTCTTAGCAACTAGCTCTTAGGCTGTTTGTTATAATAGCACACCATAGTTCTACTACTGAGATTTAGGCTAAAGCTACATTGGATATGCACATTAGCTAACTTAAGATAATGCTTTTAACTCAGGTTAGCAGTTCATCTCTAATACTTCCCCCTAGCCGTTCAAATTCAAACTTAACAGGCATGCTGGAGTTGAATTTGTATTGCTAGCTTAAATTAAAAAGTACAGTTGCCATAGGTACACTGTTTTAACTTAAGAACACTTAGTTTGCACTCTACTGGAGTGTGGACAGAAGATGAGGATATTATTAATTTGCAACTCTGTACATCCATCCAGGAACTAAAGTGATGTAATCCAAGGCATATCCACCCTAGAATTATAAGATTTGCAGCTGGCCCATGGCAGCTGATTCGGATTTGGGCTAGGGTTCTGATTGATTGCACTGTTAAGTGTTTGGGCTCAGGCTGGAGTCTAGCCTATAGCCTAGAGTGAGGGGAAGGATCTAGAACTTGGATGCCATCAAAGCTGGAATCTCTACACTCCAGTCGAGCAGCCCCTAGGCTGAGACTGATATGTCTAGTTATGCTATACTACATACCCTTAAAAACTAGTCTTGACTACCATTGAGGGGCAAAATGATCATTTGTAGCAAGCTGAATCAGTCAAGTCAGCACTTGATTTAAATCAGCAACCAGAACCAAGAAGCAAGATTGAACATTTTAATATTCATTGTGTAAGTGCCTTAAAAAGGGATATAATCCATATGCCCTCAGCACTCTCCATTAGATTGTATTCAGCTGCATTTTAATAATCATCAGCAAGATAGTACAACAGCTTAAAAGCAACAAAATGGCACCTTCTCCAACAGTTCCCCACCTTCCTTTCAGTTTTCAAAGTTGACAAGATTTCACTAAGTCCTAAGTGGAAGATTTCAGTGTACTTAGGACTAGGAAGGGAACTCTTATTCCAGAGTTGCAAATGCCTTTAAAAATGCTCTGCTGCCAGCTTGTTCTTTATGCCAATGAAGCCATGGAAATCAAGCTAGCATTCTCTCCACTATAGTAGCATGCTCCAGGGCATGAGGTGGCCTGGGGCATATAGGTCCTGTGATTAGAGATCTATAGGTTTAAAAAGCCCACATGTACCTGGAACTATCAGAGTGGGTTCTAGAGTACAGATCTTATTCTACATACCATAACATTTCACTTAGACTGACCACTATGTTGTGTATCAGTTTCTGTATTACTCTTCCAGAGTTTGTATTAGTCTAGGCTGAATGTTAGGAGGTGACCATTGCAAATGTTTGCCTTTAAGATTAATGGCTGCAGCCTGCTAGACCTAGATGAGGTGAGGCAGTTTTTCTATTACTGTTACCTGATTATTTAGTAGCACTTGGGAGTTGAAAGCAGATCTAGTAGAAAGGCTGGTATTTCTTCTGGACTGAAATTCAGGGCCTGCATGACAACTGATGTCAGCCAGGCATTAAATGTCACTCACCTATTTGGGCCAGACTGGAAAAATGTGGACACAACAGTTAAGACTCTCATGGTCTTTCTAGTAGTATCATGTACATATTGCACCAGAGTGACAAGAGTTCTGGGGGAGTATACACTTAGATGGCAGCAGTTTCACCCTAACCATTTGGTTAACCACTCTACAAGAGAGCTACCAAGCCACTTATCTGCAGATGTGTTGATATAAAGTGGATGCCACACTGATCAAGTACCAAGAACAGCTATATGTCAATAAAGCACTGATACCTCATCTTCCATCTTTAGATAACTCACTAGATCAACTAGTTTCATCTCCATTCCACACCTAGGTTAGAAATCAGACTGACAATGGTCAAGGAGATGAGTCAACTTAAGATACCAAGAAAGTTGCAAGCCTCTCACTCAGATTCCAGAGGCTATATTTAAAGGTGTTATGAAGTAGGTCATAAAATAACACTTATGTCAAGCTTTAGTCCCATGGAGTTTTGACAAACCACAACTGCCAAAGGATTCCATTTAAGAATAGAATTACTCCGTATTCATGCCTCCAGACAACAGTTGCCAGCTATTTGCAAGAAAGTAGAGAGCAGAGAAGGAATTTGCAGAACTTTTGCGCTTCCTTTGAGAATGGAATCGGTCTATGTTGCTCAAGCAAGTATGCTTAAGTTACAAAGTATGCTTTGTCTTATAGGCATATTAGCCAGGAGTCTACAGGCAGGTAGCAGTAGACAGACGTTATCCTTGAGTGTCTTAATTTTGTAGAGACAAAGTTTAAAACAACCAAAACTACTACTCTTTCTAGTATTTCAGAGAATGAAGATTCATTGCTTACTAAGCCATCCAAATGTTTACACATGTTCTGATAGATAGCCTGATTTCACGCTCTGTCAGCATGTTATTAGCTAGAATTTTCTTACCTTCGAAAAATAAGTCTTCCACTCAAGATGAAATGCAGAAATATTTATTTTGGTTTCCTTCATTGGTTTTGGAAATTATTTTGGTTTATAAAACATAAAAATAGCCAACACTAAGCAAACATTTGAACTCCCATGTAACAAGTTACTTGATATTTTAAGAGTACTGATTTGGATGTGTGCAATTAAGAATACACATTATGACATTATACTAACTAGTGCATTAATCACACATCTTAGTGCAAACCTTGTGCTTGTCTTTTACATACATCCATGTTTCCAAAAACAGTAATGAATGCTACTAGTAAATGCTTATCTGTAACAAGGCTTAATTTGCCAATTTTCCAAATGAACACTGTACTAAGATCTATGTATTTTTATACTATGTGTGGGAATTTGTTGTTCGGAGAAAAGTCTAGTTCTCTCCTCTGCTAGCTTATCTGAGTACTTCCAATTGCTATAATTGGTGCTTGAGACAAAAATATATATAAAAATAAAAAAAAATCCTGCTTTCTGTTGCCACGCATTTCAGTCAAGGGACTCAATTGCTCACACATTAAAATCAGACAGCTGAGGGAGTATGACAGAAGATATTCCATGTTTAGAGCACCTGGCAGGTTAACAAAACAAAGAAAATTGAGTACAGTAGGGGCCTATTACAGGAGTCACTTGGCTAATGCAAGGTGTATGTTTACCTGGCCATTAACAGAAGCCAACCTCTTGAGTGGCTTCCTTCTTTAAACTTCAGTCTTGTTCCAAGGTTCCAGTTACACCACTAGGTCTGATGCTTGTGTTAAATAGTTTTTGCTATGTCAAATTAGTTGCATCCAGCTTACTAATGCAGAAGAATTAGACTAATTTAAAGAGCCAATATTGCATCATTCACCTCTTGCACAGGAGTATTCTCTTTTGATTGGTATTCAACACCTAGTTTACCCAAGAGTAAGCGTCTGGAGTTCTCTTCAAAATGGAGCACTGAAGGGTGTTCTCTTCAGAGCAGCATGGTCTGACCCAATTTTAGAGCTAATGCAAGAAGTAATGTTACCAGCTATAACATTTTATGTAATGAATAACTGTTTCGCCCGCAGTACAATACAGCCTCTCCAATATGCTAAATCCTTTGCTGGATACCTTGCAGCTGTCCATTCCAGACAGGAACATGCCGGCAACAAGAAAACCTTAATTCCCTGGTTAACAAAAAAGGTCACATTTTTGGCTGAGGAAGTCTTAAATAACTTAATCATAGTTACATTTACAGTTTAAGGCTAATTTTGGAAATTGTAGGTAACCATAAAAATGGTCTGCAACACAACTGGACAGTAAGGCAATGTTCCATTTTCTTCAATATTCCTATGGTAAGTACCCATTTGTGTACAAGTTAGTGTTTGCAGTTTCCTTCCCTATGTTTGCTGCAGTCAGATTACCAATATGAAGGCCAACCATAGATGCCGGATGTTTGCCATTCTCTTCAAATAATTTTTCCCCTCAGTTACAGCCTGATGTTAGTATAGAGTTCATCTATCTGTGACTGGAAGTATTTTTGTAGTTCTCGTCTTTTTGCCTTCAATGTTGGTGTCAATAAGCCATTTTCAATAGAAAACATCTCTGGGCTCAGGGCAATGCCTTTGACCTGGAAAATGAACAGCTATTAGCCTAGATTAGTTTTACTTTGAGTGCATCCCATAGCAGAAAGTGTTTGCAAAAAGTGACAGTAAGAATTTATCAGATCACTTAGAAGGATGAAGAATGTAGTTAGTTTCTGCAGTCAGATTATGCAGATCTGTTTAGAGAGCCAAGTAATGAGTGAAAGTTGTGCAATTGGAATTAACTCATGGGCTACAATGAGAGTTTCTCACCTGCTCAAATGATTTCAAACCAGATTCTTTTCCAACCTTCAACATGTCTTCCAGAATATGCTTTCTGATGTCCTACAACAATTAAAAATATATACCATATTACATTTTGTTAGCAAGAGAACTGAGACCAATGACTGGACTCTGCTCTTACAATATAGTTACCTTGTTTTTACACAGTTCTTCATATGAACCTTCAAATCCCTTTTTCTTGGCCCAGTTAGACAAAGTCTCTGCATCTGGTACTACAACAGCTATTAAGAAGGCCTTTAAAAAAAAAGGGGAGGGGGGCACACATTTGCTCACACACCAATTTACTGGAAGTCCTCCCCCGCCCCCAATGCTCCACTGATCATTTATCTGCATGTAGATTAACACTTTAATGTTAGCCATAATAACCTTTGCTTCCCAAAGTATTTGCAACATGTCAACATTTTATGTTCGCTATAACTTTTCATATCTCACTTGCTACTTTTAGAAACTGGAGGCACTTCATGATGCCCTTAATGCAGGGTATCATGTTTGAAGGATACTGTTCAGATACCACATTTTAATTTGAAAAAAGTTACATTAAGAGTTAAATCTGAGTTAAATAGTCTATTTTCCCTTCACAGGGGGTTTGCAACCAAATTTGCATTTAATTAGTTCCCAAAAACCCAATAAACTTTGGATTCCAAATACCCCAAGGGAATCAACTTCCCTATAGGAAGAAGACTCCATGCAACTGCACACCTCTAGTTGTTGCCTACTACCTTTTCTATGGGTTCCAAGTTTGAGGTCACAAAACCTCATCTAACAAATCTTCACTGAACTATGTGGAGATGTAGACGTGTCCACTGCTTCAATGACCAAAACCTCCTCTGCTCAACCCCTCCAAATAGTTTCATAATTCCTGGAATTATTCCATGCCTATCACCTGTGGCGTACCTCATCCAGTACACTAAGGATTTGTCTCCATTACGCCATTGGATCAATGCTGAAGCAATCAATCCACCAGGAATTTAATCTACATACCTTCAGCTACATAAATAGCATAGCTGAAGTCTATGTACTTACCATGGAGTCTTTTGAGCAGTAAGCTTGGTAGGGACTGCTCTCATTAATTACAACTACTATTCTTGTCCTGGTGGAGTACCGAGTCAACGGGAGAGCACTAAGATTTATTGCATCTAAGGTAAGTGTTCACCCATTGACTCTGGTACCCCACCAGGAACAGCTGCAGTCATAGATTAGAAAGACTGCAGCAGTTATTGGAACATTTAGGCCTTGTCCACACTAAGACTTACTGTATTCCCAAATGAGCTCACAGAAAAATTAAAGACAAAAATTAGCGGTAGGTGAACATTTTTCACAAAATGATCACTGTATGTGACCTCTCAGATCTCATCCTCAAAGACAACCTGCACAACACCTTCAAAAGATGAACCTGAGAGCTTAAATTCCTAACTTGGCTAGACATTCAGTCCTTGAATTTTAAAGGCATGGATTTATGGCTTATAAACAAACAAACAATCTATAACCTACTCTCTGCCATGATCATGACGGGTGGGTTTAATCAGACGCCTCACATCAAATGGTCCCTGGAAATTTAGCTACTCATGATAACCAATCTGTTCCACTTTGTACTGAGCTATAATACTCAGTACATTTCCTAGACCTGAAGAGCGCCATATAAGCTTGAAAGACTCTCACCAACACAAGCTGTTACAATAAAAAGCTATTGCCTCACCCACCTTGTCTAGCAGATCTGGAAAAGTAGTTACAATTTGATTGTAAATTCAATGTTAATGCCTAAATGTGGCAAGATTATTCAACCCCGTGTCAGTTTAAGGTGGGAGATTGCACCCATAACCAGGGCTCAACAAATCGCTATATCTACCTGCCCGTGGCAAGTAGATTTCAGCCGGTTGCCCCATTCACCAGCACTGCACACATGCGCAGTGCAGGTCTGGCGCATGCACGTTCGGGGCTGGCGAGTAGATCTTGCCACAGTTCATCAAGCCCTGCTGATAACCATACCTAGCATTTGCATCTAGTTGAAGGATACCTACCTGCAAGCTTTCTCCATACACAAACACCTGAGCAACAGGTTCACTTCTCATATAAACATTTTCTATTTTCTCTGGTGCTATGTACTCTCCCTGTGCGAGTTTGAATATGTGCTTTTTCCGGTCGACGATCTTTAAGGTACCATTCTGTGGGTTAAGAATTTTCTCTTAATACAAGGCAGGCATTTTTAGGAGCCACTACTACAAGTTTTATGTAACACCACTGCAGATTAAATGCTCACAGAAACCTCAGTGACCTGGTCCCCACATAAGGAAAAAGAGTAAGCCTCAAGATGTGCCCTCCCCCCTCCCACCTGAGAAGCAGGGCAGGGAGGGAGAGGGGGAAGGGGAAAAAAAAAAAAAAAAACTACTCGGGCACTGACAGCTTCGGGGGGGGGAGGTTGGGGTGGGCAGGGGCACAAGTGGCTCTATTGGAAACTGTTCTGAAAAAGCAGACATGTTCCTTGGACATAGCAGAGCTTTTCCAGGATACCACCAATATCCCAGAAAAGCTTTGCAGTCTAGACATAGCCTGTGTTGCAGGGAGGTGCTCCCTGCAGGCACCGCCCTCTGCTGCTCCCACTGGCCAGGAACTGCAGCCAATGGAAATAGCAGGGGGCAGTGCCTGAAGCAAATACATCCCTGCAACAGAGCCACTTCCTTCCCCTCCCAGGCAGAGCCTGTTACCCAAATCCGGCCTTCAGCTTGCCTTGATCAGGCCCACAAAGCTCTGGGCTACTCTTCCCTTCCCCAGCAGGGAGCTAATGCTGGCAGTTCAGCCACAGCCCCCTTCTTGCATGGCTGGACTGCCAGCTTGTGCTGATGGAGGAGGAGGAGGAAAGCCCCAAGCTCACAAGCTTCGATCAAGGCAAAGTTGTGGGCCAGATACAGCCTGCAGGCCATAGATTCCCCACCCCTGATCTAGAGGAGCAGCAAAAAGAGCGCAAAGTATCATTTATCCCTGCACATTTATGCATAGCCTAGAACAGCTTTGAATACTGACAGCATGCTACAGACATGCTTTTAGTTTCTCTTCACGCTTATGTTTGATGGTCAGTGTTTTCATCTAAGAAAAGACTCAAACTTTTCTTAATAGCGGCAAGAGGTCTCTTAAAATAAGGGCAGAAAGTGATTTTGAATTTCTGAGCCATAGCATTGAACATACAGACTCACGAGAAATGCATATACAACATTTGGACCGATGGTACTCAATGCAACAATTCCCATAATTCAAAGTACCAGTCTCTCAACATTGGAATAAATGAAGGTCTTCCTCAAAGCATTCTGATATTTGATGAAGCATCTTCAACAGCATCACAGTGTGCAGACTAAGATACTGCTACTTTTTCCATCTTTTGTTAGTACAAGAGTGGTTAGTACTTTGTAGGAATGTTAAATAAAGGTTTAAGAAAGTAGCCATGTAACTGTTGAGAGTCCTAGGAGTTACAAGGTTAACTGTTTTTGCCTGGGTGAAACCAGGGACAGAAGGATGGTGGAGTGCTCCAGTGGTTCCCTGGGAGCCATCTACCACTCCACACTATGGGCTCCGATAATGCAGAACCTGCAACATAGGGCAGCAACCAGCTTCCTGGGAGCTGGCTTATGCAAACTGGCTCCCAGATGTTGGCCCTACTCCTGGGGAGCCAGCTGCACTGCAGGCTCTACAGTATAAACTTTATACTGTAGAGCCTGCAATGTGGGGTGGCAGACAGCTCCCTTGAAACCAGCACATGCCAGCAGAAGACTTTAACCATAACAGAAACAGATAAGCTCATGCTAATTGGTTAAATGGTTAAACTGTTGCATCTGCAATGCTTTGCGCCAGTTTCAAACTTCATTTATAGTCCTTTGCAACAGGGATGTAAAATCCCACGTAATTGGTTTGTTGATTAGAAGGGGCAACTCTCCAGCCTGGCTGGAGTGCCTCCCCCTTGCCTCCCTCCCCCCCAGCCACAGGCAGGGGATGCGCTATTGTCCCAGTCAGAGCAGCCCCTGTCCATGGTGGCTCTTCCCCCTACAGGAGAGGATGCTGGAGTGCCATCAGTTAACCTTAACCAGTAAGCCTCACCTGTTAAATGGTTAAACCCTCACATCCCTACTTTTACAAAACGTGAACTGAGACTCAACCCTAAGGAAAGTCTCTTCAGCATCTCAACCATTGACTAACAGATGCAGTTCACTTTTCTAAACCATGTTTAAGCAACACAAGCTGACTTACTGGTAGCCATTTTCCAATATCACCTGTGTGGAGCCAACCATCTCTATCTAGAACTTCAGCAGTTTTCGCTGGATCCTTCAGGTAGCCTTGAAATACATTTGACCCTTTCACACATACCTGAAATGAGTTTGTTAATTAACTTTCATGTGCAATAAAAAAAAATATATCACTACATGTTATGTGGAGAAAAAACTCAACTTGTTTCCCCATTTGTCTGTAGAAGCATCAAAATGGAGTAAGTTTCTAAATAGCTACAAAATGTCAGCCCAGCTGAATTCTCTATTACACAGATTTTAATAGAATAGTTAAATAGCAAATAATTGTTTATATGCAACTGCTTAAACGTACAACTACTGTCAATTTAACCTGCTCCAGTGTCACTGAGGCAGGATGACTTAAGATCCCTGGTAGAGGCCCATCTGTTTGTGCAGCTGATAGTCAAACTCCTCCAATCAGAAATAGATTAGGAGAGCTACTTTGGTCAAGCACCCACTAATCTCTGCAACTTCAAAAACAAGTCTATTTGATTTTAGCTCACCAGATGGCTAGAGATTGCACAAGAACCCTCTGCAAATCCCTTTAGAAGTCTTTTATAGTCCCTTAAATGTTACTCACCTCACCCTCTCCTTTGACAGCAAAGTAATGCATTTCTTCTACATCAACAAGCTTTAAGAGACTGCAAGGCATTGGTGCTCCAACATGACCTTTAATAGAATAAATAGTGCATTTATGTTCAGGTTGCTTACCAGAGCTTTTCAAGTTTACAGTTTCAGGAGTAAGTAGTCTAAGTAAGAAGCTGGCTTTCCAGCCACTGGCTCATACACTGCTAAACAGCACCATTTTAGTAAAAGGAGTCTGTAAGTCTTAGGGTACGTCTAGACTACCGCGTTTTGTCGACGGAAGTTGTCGACAGATACTGTCGACAAAACTTCCGTCGACAAAGAGCGTCCAGACACATTGAGTTCTGTCGACAAAGCAAGCTGCTTTGTCGACAGAACTCCGTAGTCTGGACGCAGTGTTACAGGCAATAACACCTTCTGTCGACAGAGTTCTGTCGACAGAAGGTGTTATGCCTCGTAAAATGAGGTATACCAGCGTCGACAAAACTGCTGAGTTCTGTCGACGTTATGTCGACAGAACTCAGCGGTAGTGTAGACACTGGTATAGTTTTGTCGACAAAAGTCCACTTTTGTCAACAAAACTAGGTAGTCTAGACACACCCTTAGATCTGACCAACTTGATTTGCCTAGCATTGCATTAAGGCCAACTTTCCTTCCTGCAGCGCCTCACTGGCTAACAATATACATAGACTTGCCTGAAAAAATCAAATTTAGGAGCAGAGGTAAAGAAAGGGTGTGTGTCAGAAAATATTCCAAGAAAAGTGCCTAATTTGTCACTGGATATCCACAGAAGTATCATTACCACTAAGCAGTAGTTTGAAGTTTTGTTTTTCAAAGAATAGTCTGAAACTACATGACTTCACAGTGAAAACCAATTGAGACTTCTGACTAAAATGAACCAGACCAGATTAAGATACTACAGACTTATGTTCCATTGGGACATGACCGGTTACATCATTTCATTAACATATCCAGAGTTTTCCCCACAGGAAATGTAGAATGCTCCATTCAGAAGCAGGATACTTTGATGTTTGAGCTGCTATAATTCACATTTAAGGCTATTTGGTTTAGTTCACCAGATGGCTAGAGACTAATTACATAAGAGAACAGGAGAAATTCTTGTATGCTTTAAGAGAAACAAATATTGTACCAGTGTTTAATGACTGTTTGTAGACAGCTGATCCAAGTTCCCTGGACATCTAGTTCCTATAGGAAACTAGACAATATTAGGTTCCATGTTTCAAATTCCCCTAAAGCCACAGGAAAGAGTCACGTTTCAGCTTTGTAACATTCATATCTATTTATAAATGGCTTGCGTGAAGTGACTACTTCAAGCAACCCTTTACTAAACTGCACTTGAGAAAATTCAAGTAGTCTAATACAGTACTTCAGGGACAATTTAGGAAGACAATAAGTGAAGTCTATAAAGGAAATATTCAACTAATTTAGTCATCTGAAAAGAAGATTAAAAGAAGCCATACCAGCTGTCCAGTCACCAGCCATTGTCAGGGAGCAGCCAGCTGTGCATTCAGTTTGTCCATAGCCTTCGTAGAACTATTCAATTGAAACAAAAATAACTTTAACAAGGGACCTTGATATCTTGTCATTTTTGTGTTTCAGTATTGAAGTAAAAAAAGAGAAATGTAATTTGTTCTTCAGTTCAGCTTTGAGTTGTGCAACTTAAGTATTCTAGAAAGGCAAGCTGCCAAATTAAATATACCAGCTGAAACCATCTACTAAAATAGGATTTCAAAATTCTTTAAAGTTTGAA